GGTGATGAGAGGAAGGGAGACCTCAGAATGCCATTTTCTTTGCACAGCCTTCATCATCCAGAATGCACTGCTGCAACGCTGCTAAAGGCGTCTCATTGTCATAACTCATGGTCCGTCTGTCAGAAGTGCAACATTAGAGACTGGGTGTATCTGTAGCAGCATTTAGGGCTCCAGTCTTCCCAGTTTTGAGACAGAAAGTTAGCTATTACATCCACTGGCTTGTACTCTTTTGTGAAGGTACTTTTTAGCTACTCAGACGCCGAGGTTTTCTCCTTAAACGTGAATCTTTACTCGTCCAAAGATGAGGCTCACACTGAACTGTGGTTTTACTGTACCACCAAATCGCAGTAAGAACAGGGCGGGGAGGGGGGAGGGGGGGTTGCTACCTGAATTTTACAAGTTAACATTTCCAAAGGAGGTGGATTTTATCCTGAATCGAGCTATTTTTTTAAAGAAACTGTCTAAAAGAAAACCGACTCTACTCACTTTTCGTACCATCGAGCTAACAGGGTAGCGGTCGAGTATTTTTCAAAGTTTGGAAATTGAATCGTTCAACTGTTGCCAAAGCTGTGGAGCTAATGCATTTCTGTGGCGTTTGTATGCAACTTGCACTTAATCCTGTTATGCATTTGCATATTAAGTAAAAGCCCGTCGGGGGAAACTCGCTGACGGGCTCTCGCACCAGAAAAAAAAAAACCAAAATAACCGGTCGTCTTTTTCACAGCTGAAATTCATACCTCAAGAAAAAGCTACTTTCAAAACTAAACTCTCAATGAGTGAATTAGGTGTCTTAATTTAGCTTTTTGAAAGCGCTGGCATAGCCTAGCAGAGGAGTGATTTGGGAATTGAATTAGGTTGTGGAGAGAGAAGAAGAAAAAAAATGAAGGCTGAGGGGGCTCGGACCAAATTATGTCTGCACTCTGGGCTGCAGGGAAGTACGTTTATATACAGTTTATACAACATGAGCAGCTGCTATTGGCACTTTAACTCGAGTACTCAGAAATAAAGGTTGCAGCTTGGGTCTCCTTGCCTGATGTTCAGTACTGAAGTGCTGGATTTGGTAACTTTTCTGTTTTGTTTGTGAAGTGAACTGCAACACCTCGCTCTTTTTTTTTTGTTTCTGCTGTGTTTTTTTTTTTTTTGTTTGGTTTTTTTGGAGGTTTGTTTTTAAATTAAGCTATCAGTGCTGTGGTTCCTGTGTGTTTCCTTTGTGTGTCCTGATGTTGCACTTTTGAGTTGTCTTGAAAATCTCCTTTATTTCAAACCGTTTTGATTTCATGTTAGGGAACCCTGAAATACCCCGTCACCCTACAACGAGCCGCCCGACGACTCTGTAAGCCTTCTTTTGACGTACCCATCTACATTTGATGACATTAGATTAGCTGGATAGTTTGATAAAGTCTTCCTTAATAACTAAGCAGAGAATTGACATAGGGCTTTAGTCAGGTTACGCCGTGATGTAGAGAACGCACTCCCCCCCCCCCATGTCCCTTTATAAATGTGTAAAGTTTGACTTAATATATATATTAGTTTGGATCATCGATGTGTGATTGCATTTCACTGCCTCTTGTTCAATACATTGCCTGTCAAAAATGTGATGATGGAAAACGACCGACATTGTTGATTAATGTTCATTGCTGTGAGGGGTCACACCCGTTCTGCTTGCCTGAATCGCTGCTGTTGAAACACAGCGGAGGTCTTTGATACAAGCAATACAGTGATGTGTGTCTTCTCTTTTGTCTGGAGAGCTTCTGTTACAGACCAAACAGTGGGGATTGATCAGTCAACATCCATCAGGAGACTGACACTGATGCCCTCAGAGGATTTTTAGACATTGTTCATGCCTTCAGGATTTATTATAAAATATTTAAAAACTCTGATTTTAAAGTTTTGATAGAGTTCAGTCTTGTTTCTTCTCATAAGGACAAAGTAAAACAACTCAGAAGCAGCGAGGTGACAGCAGGCTAAACTCTGTACATGATGCGTGCACTAACCGCTTGGCTACCGACGCCCCTAAAATAGGTTTTATTTTTAAAGGAGCACTATGTAGATTTGGTGGTGAAATTTGAAAGTAACAATTCTGTGCTATATTTTCCCTGAACTAAACTTTACTCAAAGGATAAAATGTGTCCCTGGACACTGTTTGGAGCTAAAAAGCTACCAGGAGGGTCACAGTTTCACTGCTGCAGGCCCCCCACCATGACTTCTCACATATCATTTTATCTTCAAATATTGTTCCATGGACCGAATTTTCCTCTGAGGACAGTTTGTGTATCGAGTTTTATAGAGTTATGGACTTCTCCAACTTTCACATTTCTCTTCCAAATCTCCAGAGTGAACCTTTAGAATGATCAGCGTTGTATGGCTTTAATCTCTGGTTTGTTCACTGATCAAAGGCTGAGTCATAACCCAACATGTAAGAGAAAACCATTTGATTAATATGCATCATTTCTGTACATTTGATCGACTGCACATTTCTTTAACAGCGCTGAATCCTCCAATCGAACAAGAACATAAAAAAATGTCTTTAAGAATCACCTGCATTATTACTGTATAACATCTTGAAACCCGGCCTAACAATGCAGTCAGAACTAGTTTTAAATCATCCATTGTTTCACTCAACCTTGTGCTGCTAAGGCACACGCCTTTTAAACATTGTGTACATGAATCTTTTTTTGTACGCTGACAGGGAGTCAGAAGACGTGCCATCTTAAATGTGTTTCTTGTAATAACTTTTAAAAAAGGCTCTAACCTTTAGCATCTTTCAGATCAGTCTTTGGAGTTTCACAATAAATAACTACTCGTTTGCTCATTATTCACATGTAGGAAAGGTCAGCGGGTCAATAGATGCATCAGTCAGGAGCTGGTGGAGACCAAACCTGAGCGAAAAAAAGAGTCTTTACTGCTCCATCTGCTTTATGTGGGAAGAGGCAACAATTAACAAACCAGCTTTGTATACTGACAGTATGTCTGGGTTGTGTGACTCAATAAATCCATCAATACCAGTTAAGTATAACTAGAACTACAACAAATTAAAACACAATACAAAGAACATTTTGGGGAAATAAATGGGATTATAAAATGACCACTTTATCCTGTGGCCTCAAAGAATGATCCGGCTTCTATTAAGTTGAACCAGAGATGCTGATAAGTTCATTTTGTAATGTAGATATATGATGAATACTTGTCAATGCATATCACAGAGAGTCCCAAAGTGGTGCCCGTGGTTACCTGGAGGAGGACTTCCAGGTAAACGTAAGGCTGAAAAATCAATCTGCACCAGAAGTGAGGAGAAAATACGACGAGTCATATCTGGCTCTCAGCTTCACCTCGTCCCCGACTTCAGAAGAAAAAACAAGCCCACACTAGCTGCTGAAATGAGCGAGGGACTGGAAGTATAAAGCCTAAAAGATTTTCATTGATTTTGTTATTTTCAGGTAGTTTACTCATCTTCAGAGAATCTAGAAAAACAAATCTGTGAGAGTAGAATAGAAAGTCTTCATTGTCATATAAGTGTGCTACACAAATAGAAACCATTTACCTTAAAGTGCTCGATCATACAGGCGTCCATCAGCAACAAACAACCTGCATTCAGGTAAGAGAAGAGGGACAATAGCTGGACACAAGTAAAGAAAAGAAAATGTACATTGCACAGTCAGAAATGTAAATATTGCGAAGGTAAGAAGTGTGTTTTCTGCTCTGGACAAAAATGATTTCTACAGGCGGAAGTGAAAAATGTATGTATGCTCAGGTAGAAAGTCTATACACAGGTATAACTCATTTAAAGCAATGATTTGTTACATCTTAAAAACTGAAGTCTCATGTTACAGTTTAATAATCTGTTACAGACACTTCTTAGTTTGCTCAGTTTGTTGTCACATTGAAGATGCTGTTCTGTATTTACAGACAATATTTTGGATGAAGTCTAAACATATAGGACTGTGGTAGAAAAGAGCGTGACAGACTGACAGTGTGATTAGTGTATATGGATGTATGTTTATGTGTGTATGTATGGTGAAGGGTTTTGATCTTCCAAAGGGGGGCCAGGCGGAGGAAGTTTGGGCACCACTGACATAAGACATCCTCGCAGCCTACAAACAGGTATGTATTTAAATATCAGTTCAACACTGATGATAGCCTACTAATAATAGTTTGATGTAATATTTACCGACTGGATTTTTAATTTCTTTTGACATCATTACAGTCTTTATCATCAGGTAACATGGATTACAGTAAAGCCACAGATCAGTTCTAGTCATCCCTTAAATCGTTCTCATATCAAATAAACACAGAAACTTAAAATGTGTATTTTTGTAATTTAATATGGAGAAGCGTGCAGAGGCACTGCTTATCAACAGGCAACCGCTTGGGGCCCCAGGCCAGTAGGGGGGCCCGAGGGGCTGGTTTAAACTTTAAACCACAGCAGTGGCTCAAAATGTGCAAGTTTTGCAATGACAGGAGCAAACCTCCCTAAGCGGGCCCCATCTGACAGCTCTCATATAACAGTTGACTGAATGATTCTTGTCTAGCCCTGAATATGGGGGTGGGATGTTTGCTTCATTATTTTGTTGGTGCAGCATTATTTGTAACATTATGGGGATGAAGGGTATTTGGAGGGCCCCCCTGTGGATCTCTACCTTGGGGGCCCAAACAGACTCCAGAGTCGCCTCTGATCACAGTCTTTGTCATCAGGTAACACGGATTACAGTAAAGCCACTGATAGTCAGCAGCCTTTGTTCTCATGTGAAGTTAACACAGAGACTTAAAATGTGTACTTTTCTCATTAAATATAAATCCAGTCGGATATATAAGCGTGTATAAATGTTAGTTTTGACACTGTTTTGCCTTCATTTCTTTGAGCAATATTGACATTTCTGGTTAGATGGACGCGTTTCCGGCCCACACCAACGACGTGTGAATGGGGGTGGTGGGAAACACTTGAGAGGGGAAGTTGTTCACCGTGTTCTTTATTCTCCGGTTTCTTCTCCTCTTCCATGTTCATCAACATCTTTTAAAGGTGTTTAACTCAAAATCTAAGTAGAGGCTTTGTGTTTACACGCTTTTTGGTGTCGAGTGATCCATCGCGACACCCCCCTCTTTTTGCCCAGTCGATGGTATAGTCCTAACGTCCAGCTGATTGCTTTGAGTACCGTTCAATTCTTCCAGTTCAAACTGAGCCGTTTTCTTTCACTTATCGGGAAGATTTTCTGTTTTTTAGCCGAAAAAGGGATCGAGCTCGTCTCCGGGTTTTCCACCGATTTGTGGACTTTAAACCGAAGACAAACGAGGAGGATATATATATATTTTTTTTAACTTGAAACTTGAATGTTGGATCGTTTTTTGCTCGCTGAACGACCAGGCCCCGGACTCATCCCCAGCCTCGCGTTGCTGCCACCTCGGGGTTTTTGTTGGTCGTCATGGGAGACACCAGCGAGCGAAGCAAAGCTCCGAGTCTACCTCCGCGGTGCCCCTGTGGATTCTGGGGGTAAGATATAACACGAATTTAGCCTAATTTCTCAAAGCTACTTGGTTAAAGTGACGGGCTCAGATGTTGTGGAGGGGTTGAAGTAGTCCAAACCTATTGTTGTTGTTCTGTTGTAACAGGCCGAGGGTGGGGGGTTGGGAACCTTACAAATACTCCTCCTAGCTCCAAACCTACCCTGTTTAATCTCTACTTTTACATCTTTTAAACCAGTTTGAATCATATGGAAGCCGAGCTGTGACATTACACCGTGTTATATCGTGTTTTTGAAGTCGTTTTGTCAGCCAGGAGGAGGTGACGTACCCGAGATAGAAGATGATTTATTGCCAGCAGGTTCCTTTTAAACCTGCCCCCCCCCCTGTTCTCCTGAATCACCTCGAAGGAAATAAAACAATAAAACTTAAAACATTTCCACTTGGCTTTAATCATCACACGGAGTGGTTTGAATAAAAGCAGCCTTTAGAGTTTGTATTACACCCTTTTTCACAGTCAAGTGGTGGATGTGTGTTGCATACCGGATGTGATTCACTCATGTCTTCAGTGTTGCCCCATAGGGTTATTTTATTTTTATTTATTTATTAAAAACGATTTACACCACATAAACACTACTAAACATACGCAGACTTGCTTTATACATTTTTAAAAATTAATACAAAATGAAGAAGTGTGATAGGAAGTAGAGGTTTAACCCTTTTTAAGCTGTTAAAGAGAAATGAGTGTAACTTAGTTAGACAATGATTTAGCAGAAACATATCTGGATGTACTTTATTTCTTCTAAGTTTATTAAGAACAAGAGGAGCAGCTCATGTAAAACGTCCTGATATTGTAAGGTACAGTTTTTAAATGTAAGCAGACACCAGAAGTGACAAAGTAGTTTTTACTGTATAGCTCATATATAAATATATACAAGGATACATGCAGAAACTCACTGTAACAAACTATTAATATGTCTTTTAAAACAATATGAAACTAACAAAACAGTCAACCTAACCATTGGGTGAAAATAGTTAAAATGTAAATAGTTAACACCTAAATGAATGGACTTCTGAAAATGTGCAATGGCCACCGTTCTGACTCATCATACAGTTTCAGTAATGAATCAGTACACACTCTAAAGATAAGGTACTATGTCATTCAAAGGCACAGAAATGATGAACATGAAGACCAGGACTCAAGCTGTGAATCTTAAATAATGTGAAAACAGTAAATTGGTTGGTAAAGAATCTGCAAATATTGGAAAGAGTGAGCTCATTAATTATGTCTTCTTGGATCTGGGGGGGTAAAGTAACTTATTTTAATCCTTAGTAAACTGTATTTTAAAGACAAAATAAACGCACAGTAAAATGGATAAAACAGTCATTATGACCATAACAGAAAAATAATGTGAAAATTTGCAAGACACAAGAAATAGAGACAATCAGAGGGCAGAAAGCAGAAGAATCATGTGAACTCAAGTCATCGGTTTTCATTCTTAACGGCTTAAATCAAAACTAGAACACCTTTTTTTATCATGCAGCGCTGACATGTAACTCCAGAGAAAAAAGAAGCTAACACTAAAACGATATTCTGTTTATAATGTATGCAGTTCTGTTTGTTTTGGCTGTTTTATAGTGAAAACACTCAGAAGTCTTGTGTGTTTTGTAATGAGATGAAATGCCAGTGTGACCACATTCAGTAAAGTTAGGGGGTTTTGTTTTTGACAAAAGTTTCATTGAAAGATTCAGAAACCCAAACAACAGCTTTGTGCTGATCTATTTAAAAAACAACTCAAACGTGACTGATTCTTCTGGTGGCCTTCGAAGCAGCAGAAAAAAAACCTACTGAGATAAGATTACCCTTATCGTCCCTCTGGCCTGCGTGGACTCCCCGTAAACTTCTGTCATACTCGGATAACAGAAACATCCTTCATGTCAGGGAGGAACCGACAAATACTGTGTAAAAACACGTCAGCAACACGGTAGATCCCCTTTTTCATGCATCATCATTCCAACAAAACGCTGTACGTCTGGACATTGGGTTTGAGAAACAGTCCCTTATCGTCCCACTCCCCCCCCCCACCTCCCACCTCCAGTTAGCAAACTGGGACCGGTAAACCCACCTGTCATTGTCAGGTGACAGAAATGGCAGTGTTGTGCGTTTACAGCCCCTTCCTGCCTCGGCTCAGAATAACACCTGGCTGAGGGGGGGGGGGGGGTTGCAGACCGTTCTGTCCCACACAGGCTGTGCACACATGTCACTGGAACTCAAGGCCTCTTATGGAGATCCTGAATGAGGTTATTGTAGCTTTTTTGAAGGAGGGAATTTAGCGTTGTTGAAAGATCTTTGAGGCACAGAGCACTCTTCTTTACCCTGACAGCAGTCAATAATGACATCGTTTTAAAGGTAAAAACAATGACTGATACAGAGTGCCAAAGACTACACCATGTGACTGTATTGACTAGTTTTACTTCTTTGGGTTAGTCGGTTTTTATCAGTGAAATCTCTAGACTATTATTGTGTCATGTACACCTTCAAAGGGAACTGAAACTCTCCACAGAAAACCAGTTTGAGAAATCTTGCGGTAGTTTAGCTTTAGCAACGTAGCTGACTAATACTTAGAAAAAGATAACATATAAATATATATAAAGTAGGAACTAGACAGGGCGCTGGCAGCCTAGTTCACGTTCAATTCCGACCTGTGGCTCCTTTCCCCTTTCTCTCTCTCCCCGATTTCTGACTTTACCCTCTGTCTCTCAAAAGCCCCAAAATAAACCTTTAAAACAAGGAGGAACTACAGCTTCAGTAATTAATCTATCAACCTGTTGAAAAGAAAATGAAATCGCCAAATTCAGAATTGCTGATCAGATGTCATTTTAAAAAACCAAAGATGTTTTTTGTTCTCTGGTCTCGTCTTGAAGACAACAAGTCTTCAACAAATCTCCATCATGAAGTTATCCCAACATTCTGTCGACTATTTTATTGTGGATTAAATAACATCAAACTATTTCCTACATTTCACACAAATTGCAAATTAACAGCAATTCCACTCAGCAGAGTTAAGCCTGATTTATACTTCTGCGTTGAATTTACGCCATAGTATCCTACGACGACCTCAACACCACATACTCGGTGTGTCTGCTCAGCTCTATAATACTCTGTCTACAGAGTTGGCAGTACGTTTGTGTACAGGAAACAGAGACGACTGAAATGGATTATGTAGGAGATGATAAATATTGAGCAGAAGTTGATTATAATGCAATGACGAGAGGAGACATCAGAGGAGATGGGACGTACAGCCGCTGAATCAATTGAAGACGGGGGGGGATTTCTGTTTCTGCGTTGGCGGTACAGGGATATGAAAACCTAGTGGCGTATGCTGCAGTGTAGATTGGACGCAGAGGTGTAACCCAGGCTTTAGATGATGAGGTGCTCTTCAGCGGTAACAGAACACCAATAGCTGATGTCCTACTAGAAAAAAAGCCTGCTCCCAACTGAGTCTGGCCTACATACAAGGTCATCAAACTGGTGTTAGGGTCAATTTTCCTGGAAGTTGAACTCAAAATCAATCAATGTATGGCTCCTGGAGAAGATTGTGAAATCAACCCAGCTGTCAACACCTCGGGGTGATGTTATGAACTCATGAACCCTGACGAGATAGTATTTCGTTTCCCATACTGGAAGAGCAAAAAATATGCTGCTTGTGCCAAACCAGTGTGAAAAACCAGAAAGGACTCGGCCGTCAAGAAGTCGTTGGTAACACAAGGGGAAAAAGATCTTCTCTTTTTGTTTAAACGCCACAACTCTGGTCTAAAACTATCTCTGAGGCTGAACTGTGTTCAGTATTTGTTGAAGTAACTAACTTAAATTTCGTTCAGGTGCTTCTCACAGTTGTGAAAGTCGGTTGACAAAACGGTTAAAAGATCTTTTTCCAAATCTGTTGATCAGCTGTATTATTCCAGTAAAGAGTTGAAAACATGACAGATCGGGGTCACCACCACCAAAGTCTAATCAGTTAAAGCTTCGCCCCAAGGCCGGCCTTCTACCAAAAATTCATCATGATCCACTTAAAGATAATCTCAGACATCTTGGGACACACACACACACACACACACACACACACACACACACACACACACACACACACACACACACACACAGTCTTTGTCCTGCTGCGTTAGTCACATGGTGTGAAAACCCCACGGTGTTCCAGCTTTTTTGACACCATTGACAGGGCCCACAGCTGACAGGACATTGTGGTGGTGTGCACATTAAAGAGGAGTCCAGAAGGGGAGGGGAAAGAAAGGGACATATCTATAGGTAAAGGTAACGCCAAGAAAACAGGGAGGCAGGCGAGTACAATCCAAAACGCTCAGCTTTTCTGATGCCGGCTTTTCTGGATGCTTCAACTTGCTAACCAGCCGTTGGGATTCTGTCCAACGATACAGAGCACTGATATGAAGACAAATATTCTCATAAAGCGGGCTGTCTGCGTCATTCTTTTTGTGCTGTGGGAGACCCCCACGCCTCCCCCTGCCAATCCAACAGGGATAGTCTCCTGCTGTGAGGTGAACAACCAGATCAGGAGGATTCCAGGGGCAGACCTCCTGAAATTCTCCAGAAATGTTCAGGAGTGCATGTAAAAACGCTTTCTGACAATTTTTCAACCACCTCTCACCTCTTTCGGCAGCAGGCAGCATTTTCTTTCGGAGTAAAGCTTAGCCAAACCTCAAAGGTACGGTGGCCGTGTGAGGACAAAATCATACTACTGTATTTGTGTTTAATCCCAGAGTGGCCTTTGTCGCGCTCCGCTCCACTTTGTCAGCCTCTGTTGAACTGTGATCTTAATTCCTGAGTGATGTGATGATGGTCTCACGTTGACCGATTCATGCTTATCTATTTCAAAACATGTGATTTGTTTTCACCTGTTGTACCCAACTTAAGCCGGACCTGCAGAAGGACCCACAGTAATCGACCCCAAACATGTAACGGGCAGACTGTGGTTGTTTGTTAAAAAGATAAAAAAAAATGTCCTTTCACTTGATTGAACTAAAAGCGATGACAACATAACATCATTTAAAGAAAATGAATCAATAACAGCGGTTATTATTGGGTAATAAATTCATTACACCCATATGCCCCTCCTGTCTGTGATTCTTCAGCCGTTTGCTTCCCCCCGCACTCTTGATTTCCTGTCACCCAGCCTCGGATTTATTAACACAGACGTCCAGATTGCCAGTTTGACAAACATTTAAAAAAAAAAGGCAGCATGGATGAAACGTAAGGAGCGATTACAAAAGACGGTTATGGTTGACACTCAGTCATGATATAATTGTCATTTGAGATATTAGATAAGGGGTCAGGTCCGTGTTACATGGGCAGCAGTACCATATTACAGAATGGCATTTCACTTCCACTTGTATGTTCAGCCTCTCACCATTAAACTGACAGGAACACCATCTTTTAGGAAGGACATGTTTTATTATCCAGAATAAATCATTCACTGGAGTATCTTTAAGATGATGTGCTTCATTTCTGTGCGGTTTATTGTTTTGTTTCTATTTAATCATCTCCGTTTTTTACATGTTTCCTGTCTATTTGTTGTCTGAAAATGTCCTTGACAGTTGAGGAAAAATGTTTTTTACTAAAATAGAAGCGAAGCTGAAATGTGTGACGAGGCCACTGACGTTTTATTTTCTTACCTCTCTTATCAGGTCCAGTAAAACTATGAATCTCTGCTCCAAATGTTTTGCTGGTAAGTCCTTTCACACTACATATATTTTAACAACATTATTTAAGTTCATTATTCTCTCTTGGGTGAACGCTGCATAACATCACACAAAAAATGGACCAACAGGGTTAAAAAAAAAAAAAAGAAGAGGAACGAAGTGGGTCAACGGAAACTGCTAAAATTCACTTTAAACCTCTGATTGGGTTTCAAACTAGTTCGTAAAGCAGTTTACACTATCAGCAGGTTTATCTTTTAACAGCTTGTTTCTTGTCCCTCTGATAAAAGTGCTTCACTACTCACTTCTAGAGCCTGACCGATTTATCCACCAGCCGATAACACCGGCCGATATTAGCACATCCAGTCACTATCAGTATCAGCTAATTTAATCGCAGATATACTCCGATTTTATTAGATTTATTCATCAGTATCGTTGTATTATTATTACTAGCAGTTCTCCATTTGGCTGTCACCAGCAGAGGGCGCTATATAACAAGCATCATCACTCTGCAGAGTGTCAAACGGTGACGCACGTTCATTAGTTACTTTCCAGTCGAGTTACCATCTTGTCTTTGTTACAGATCTCTTCCACGTGTTTGAGAACTGTGTTTATGAGTTTAACACAATAAATGTTTATATCTATGTATCCAGAGAGACCGAAGATAGATCAAAGAAAGATATCGGCCCGTTTATCGGTAGCAGATTTAAAAAAAAATCCCTATATCGGGAACAAAATCCCACATTGGTCGGGCCTACTCACTACTCCCAGTCGTACCACTGTACAAACTTTGTTTATAATTCATTAACCAGCTTGGTAACGCTTTCCAATGAGGCTCTGGTTTGCCTGTGATGTGTTCATGATATCTTTAAGTTTTGCACAAGCCGTACAGCACTTGGATTAAGCTTTAAATATTGTGCATATTTCAATGTTTATTGTATCCGTTTAAAGTCTCTTGGCAGGAAGAGTTGCTGCTGCTTGCTGCTTTTTTTTGGTCCCTTTTCTATAAACACCAAGAGGGATTCCTTACATGTGTAAACCTGCTTGAAAGAAAAACACAATCTGATTCTGTAAGTCAGCGGTTTGACTGAGTGAGAAGCAGCTTCTTCCTGGACTATGCATGTTGTATGAAGACTATTTCATGTAATCATGATTAAGACAACCTTTTTTTATTTAGAACATCTTTGTAAAGTGGTTGTAGTTCAGAGATGAAGAGTCACAGAGTTCATGCAAAAATGTCACCAGGATGGGAGAAAACAACCGGCCCAATCTCTGCTCTCGTGCTCGCTGGCAGGTGAACAGCTGCCGTTTGGCGTCTTTTTGTTTCTGTTCTGTAATGTTGCACATCTTCAAGAAGCAGCGGAGGAATTTGAGGCCTGTATGTCAAAAAGAGGAAACACAGAAGGAACAGGTCGCTGCTGCTCATAATTGCATGTTTGTGCTTCCTTTAACACTTGTAGGGGCTTGAAAACATTTTTTTTCCATTGGAAACCGTTCTGCTTCAGTTTGCTTCTTGGCGCTTCTTTTTTTGGCGTGCGGCGCTGATCCCACTCGGACACAGCCAGCAGCAACCTTGAGCGAAGGTGTGCCAGCTGATCTCAGTTAGGAACGCTAACAATGCTGAGAAGTCATTTAAGAAAAATGGAAAAAAAAACTCAACGGCTAAGAGTCAGAATCCAGAATTCAGAGTCCCCGCCCCCTTTTTAATACAGAAGTGGTCTGAACACTAATGCACAAAATGATCAGCTTAAACCTGCCATTTATAAAAAAACATTTTTAAATGAAGTACTGCTACATACTGCTGTGTACTTGCTTTATATTCTTATTTAATTAGATAAGAGGAGGCAGTAGCTCAGTCTGGGACTTGGGTTGGGAACCAAAAGATGTGCCACTTCCCAAGTACTGCTGAGGTGCCATTGAGCAAGGCACCGAACCCCCAACAGCTCCAGTGCTCTCCCTGTGTAGCAGCCCCACTCTGACATCTCTCCTTTAATACATGTCCACAGATCCTCAGATTAATGTAACACACTTGACACCCTGACCCTCGTAGACCTTAACCATGTTGGAAATTGACCATTATTCTGCTTCCTGTGCGACCACTTCATATTTAACATGAATTTAAAATAAGCGGTGTAAATCAGAAACCTCTTTAAAAGTAAAATGTTTCCTCATTGTGTCGACGAGAAAAATGCCCAATTAGAGTTTGAAAATGTCACGGTATGCCTGGAGTTTTCTCAATGACTCCTCGGGTCTGGTTTAGATGGATGGGCATGAGGGTGCACTGCAGCCCCTCAGTCGGTGTCCATGGCAACCATCGAGCATGGCAGACAGCGAGGACCTCAGGGCCCCCGGCTTTGAGTCTGGCATCACAGACCGGGCTCAGAATAGACTCAATACACATGAGCGCAGAGGCAGAAGTGGGTTAGTCCACATGTGGAGGAGAGAAACCAAAATGTAGGCTGACCCGCCTCACCCTCCCTGGAGGAGAGAGAGAGAGAGAGAGAGAGAGAGAGAGAGAAAAGACAATATCCTCGTGGATCGATCGAGTCTGAGATGGTCAGAGTACAGACAGGTCTGAGGAGCGGCTCAGTCCTCCAAGGTGACCGTCCAGGACAGGAAAATAATGTTTCAGTTTGCAAAGTTTACTTCTTGTCCATCGGGGGCTCGGCTGTTTTTCAACTTTTACATTTGGTGGATATAGTTCTTGGTTGTCTTCTGAAACATTGAAAGGTATTTTATTGGAATAATCTTTACCTGAGGCATGACAGAAGACAGCTGACAGGAAATGAGAGAGAGAGAGAGAGAGAGAGATAGGACTGCGACTGACAGTTACTCATATTATCGGTTACCTGCTCATCATAACTCACCAGGCACCAAGTGGGTGTCTTCATTTCTTTTTATTCTATAACAGCCCAGCAAATATGACACCATCCTCAAAGAGTCATGTAGTATTTCCACTGCATCACTCTGAGTCACTCTCCTTTGGTTTCCCCTTTTCTTTTTGAATAAGTTGTGAAACATACCGGATCATGTTTTTGTGGAATAACCTTGGTCAGAGGTTTCAAGCGAACTTAAATATGGAGTTCACTGCAAAAAACGGATCGGTCATTGAATTATGAGATGTGAAACCCCGCACACAACACCGCCCGCCAGCTGTAGAGGAAGAAGGGTTTTAGCAGATGCAAAGTGATGACCTAATTATAACCCGTACTCGGTTTGCACAGTGCATCTTTTAGTTTAAAGAGAAACGGTGACATTAATGAGTATGCTAGTGCAGAAGTGGCTTGAAAATTACTTTTAGCAAACAAAGAACAGCAGACTCTTAAAGTGTTTTTTTAGTACAGGTAAATGTTGAATAGCGATGTGTGGGTCACAGCGTAGCCACAAGACCATCATTTACTAAATGAACACCTAAAAGACACAGCAAAATGTAATAAATCAATCCAGAAGTAGACTCATTTCCATAGAATCACACTAATCTTTGCAGGTCGCCCCCTGCTGCCCGTTAGAAACAGTGCAGGTTTAAGGCTCTCCAACACTGGTCCTTCTTTTTCAGAACTTGAGGCTACATGCACATCTTTTATACCATCTGTTTTCTGCACGCAGAGACAAAACCTGTTATTAAAGACTTGGTGTCAGATGTCTGGAGGTTTTTGGGCTGTGCAGCTGCATTTCTGTACACATGCATGACTGGAGATTTTGCTCTTGAGTTTCTTTCTCGTCTCTCTCTCTCTCACTCTGCATGCGTTTTTGCTGTCCTATTTTTACATCTTTGTCCGCTTGCTTCCTTTGCTGTTCTTCACCACAGACATCCAGAAGAAGCAGCCAGGAGAGGACTGCACCTCCAAGCCCATCCAAAGCACCGGGAGTAGTAGCCAATCGCCCGTTTTCAGTAGCGAGACGAGCAGTAGCAGTAGCCAATCCCCTTTGTCGTCGTCGCCGCCCTCCAGCTCTGAGCAGCCGTCAGCGGAAGAGTCCTCGCCCACATTTCCCAGCATGAGGGAAGGTAAGATGGGACCACACGCTCTCATGCCTCAACAGTGCTCATTTAAAGCGCTGATGACGTTCTGATCAAGTCGGGACGAGAAACCTTCAAACTACTCACACTGAGAAAAACGTAACTATTAAGAGGTTTTCTGCAGAACTTTTTTATGTATTGATCAACATTTTCTCTCAAGACTTGGAACACCAGTGTGTTGTTTTAGATATCAGCTGTCATCGGTTTGTACTGGCACAAACGTCACTGTGCAGCCTTCTCAGTCCCACAATAATCACAATAAAGATAAAGGGATCAGCTCTCGGGGTTTCACTTTCTGATGGACAGAGATGACGCTAATGTCCCAGTACAACATGGCACATGGTGCAGGGACAACTGGAGTGAACATGTAGAGTGCAAGATACACAACAGACAGGCTGCTTTATTTAAACTGCAACACAGGCAATGTGGTGCTCCATTCAGGCAAAGAAAGCATTAGATCAGGGATGGGCAACTTTGGTCAGAGTAAGAGCCACATTCATTTAATTCTCACTGCCAGAGGGCCAAATTGTAGGATACAAAAATGATTACAATTTATTCTGTCTCAAATTAAACTCAACGTATACCAGTGATCAAATATTGTTATGGACATATTTCTGGTTTTCATGATTTCATGGCAGATTTTGTCATGTTTCTTATTAATTGATATGTAAAACTTTAACTGAGGGCCACGTTGCGGGTTGTTAGGGCCGCCAGTTGCCCACCCCTGCATTAGATAGACACATCGAGTGAAAAAATACAACACTAGACTCATTACAAATTCAATCAAATAAAAACCATGAGATGACAAAAACATCAAAGTTTGACCTACTGGTCCTACGGAGAGAATACAAGTTTAGAGTGAGGGCACACTCACACTGGACAATCTGTACCGTGCCTAAGCACACGTCACCCTTAAAGTCCAGTTTGTTTGACTAGTGTGAGTGCTCTGGTACACTCACACTCTGGTCCCTGGCACATTTGGAAAAGGTGTGCTTGGGCACGGTCCAGTTCATGCACAAGCACATGAACACAACGTGTACAGCCTTCATTACCGATAAACCCCAGAGTGTTCTATCTCACTGAAATGACTCAAAATAAGCCACAAAGTCAGTAAAGTATCCGTCATGTTCTCTGAGTTGTTGCACGGTGAGTTGATGCTGACCCAACCGCGTGTCCCCCTTTTCTCTTTTTTTTCAACCCGTCCGTCTTGTAAACTGAGCACGCTTCATGATCATGTAAAGCCATGCATGTGTTGTATTACAACCTTGTGTACAAGAGGTAACCGCGCTCAGGCCCGGTTAGTCCTGGAGCAGTGTGAGTGCAGTGCAGGCCAGAAACAGAAACAGGAAACAGCATATTTTAAGGTTTCAGGTTTCATTGATATCCTCTGAAATATGTTGTCAATTGTTTCTCATGAATGTTTTCATTTGTTTGCTGCAAAGTAGCTCAACACAGCTTCCTCTGATGCTTCTGAGTTAAGACAATTACGGCAAGTAAAACCTAGGCTTACATATATCTATAGTTCTTTTCAATGTCTCTACACAGTGTTTACCATTCAAATCTTTGTTGATCACGACTATCTTTTTAAACTCAATAACACTTAGTCGATTTCTGTTTTAGTCAGGCAAAAATACAAATGCATTATTGGGAAAAACAATTATTTTATTTCCTGGTTAGGGTCATTTTACTATGAATGTTGTTGAAGTCTTTATGTTGATTATTTTATAGTGAAAGAAAAGATTAAAGGAAGAATGTGCGACTTTTTACACATAAATATGAAAATCAGAAATCAAGAATATCCTAATAATAATAAATGTGTCTCTGAGTCCTGACTGTCTACAATGAGGGAGAAGCTCGAGTCCCGCTGGCTGTGTTGTTGTCAGAGCCGTGTTTACATGGACGGGACGGCCGGCTCCTCCCCTTGTGTATAAAAGCTGTTTTAGTCAAGAACTAGACAGAAGAAGCATCAAATGGTTACATTGTTTTAATTGCACACGGTCCCTTACAAATAAAGTTTAAAACTTAAAAAAACGCTGATTATTTAAATGTCATGTAAGCGCTTTTAGATCACTCTCATTCTGTGTCAATTTACAATGCAATGTGAAGCTACGAGCTAGCTGAAGAGCACTAACATTAGCATGCTAACACAACAATGCAGATCACAGGCTTGAGCAGCGTGAGCCAAGGGCGGTTTTGTTGGCCGGTTGCGTTAAACTCCTTCATGTGAATGTGAGGGGAGAGGGGTTGGAGGTGTGTCTGTGGAGGAGAGCGGAGGCTTCAGTATGGAGGAGGCGTGGCCAAACAGCTGTTTGTTGTGGTTTCATGCTGGTGCTCAAGGGCGACTACCACCGCTAAATCAAAGAGTTACACATTCTTCCTTTAAATGTCTTTATATTTGCTGCTAAATATCATTTTTGGTAAGTAATAATTGTCATCTTTAGTTAAGGGGTAACAAAGAGTGTTTTGCCTGAGTGTTTTTCCTGGTTAGTAGAACTACAAATACCATCTCTGAAATATAAAAATATTCCTCTGGAGAGTAAAATGTTTCAGGATCCTTGATATGTGCAGCAGGTCTAACACAGGAGTTTAGTTAGTCTGCTCACAACTTCCCACAGGGTCACATTTTCTGTGTTGTATTGAAGCTTATAACAGATTCACTTCATGTGTCTCTTCTTGTATAATAGTTTATTTCTCCCAGCATCGATTCCTTATGTGAAGAGATCGTTTCTCAGCCCGTCTCACACGTCTCTTTATTCCCGTCTGCAGGCGTGTCGTCCACAGAAACAGCCCAAGGCACCCTCTGCACACCCACAAAACGTCCACGAGAATCAGGTACAGTCGGCCTCTTCTTCTCCTGCCTGTAGCTCTTTCCTGACCTGCCCTACTTTCTTCAACGCTAACTCTTCAAAAAAAAAAAAAAAAAAAAAAAACCTGCCGTGTGATTTCAGCGTCGGGCTCGGAGAGCGAGGCCACGCCGGAGAAACGGCCGCGGACAGACGAGCAGCAGCAGCAGCAGCAGGAGGAGGAGGAGGAGGGGAGCAGCGAGGAGGCCCGCGGGACGCCCAAGCAGAAGAACCGCCGGCGCTGCTATCGCTGCCAAACCAAACTAGAGCTGGTGCAGCAGGAGCTGGGCTCGTGTCGCTGCGGTCAGTACCAACACATGAGTGTGGCTCTGCAGTCACATGTTGACCTCCACCTTCACACACACTGAGTTTAATTTAACCTCGCTACGTTCCCCCCACTGTGCTTTAAATATGTCGTGCAACAGATTCAGCTGCTGAGGTTTTATTTTTATTTTGACCTAAAAAACTTAAAGCTACATAAACCCCGCCCACAAATCTGTTTCAGTTCATTCTGACTGTTAGATCTTTTTTTCTTTTTTTTAAAAGGCACAGGTTAGAGATTAAAGGTAATGTATTTGCCTCTGATTCACACTGAACAGGTCAAATAATTTGCGGCATTTTCAGTGGATTTGTCATGGCCCCAAAATATTTGAAATCTTGGCCTAGATATAAATATTCTAGATCTGTCATTAAGATAATTTGAAAGAAGAAACCTTGTGTGTTTTTGTGCACACTGAGCTGAATTCTTGCAGGTGAATTTATGAAATTATGTTTTTTTTCTTCATTTATTTTCTAACTTGACCTTGAAAACAGTTTTTCTTCCCTGTTTGATGATGTAAAAACATCGATTGTGATATTTCCTCTCTTCGAGGGAGCGTTTATCGGGGGTCACTTCCTTCACCTCACCCGCTCTGCTTTCTGTTTCCCCCCTCTCAGGCTACGTGTTCTGCATGCTCCACCGTCTCCCCGAGCAGCACGACTGTCTGTTCGACCATCTGGGCCGCGGGCGTGAGGAGGCCGTCCTCAAGATGGTGAAGCTGGACCGCAAGGTGGGCCGCTCGTGCCAACGCATCGGGGAGGAGTGCTCCTGATTTGCCACGCCCGCGTTTTATGACCCGCCATCCGGTTAGAGATGAGGCGCTTACAAAGAGGAGGAGGAACGAGGAGGAGGAGGAGGAGGAGGAATGACATGTGGGGTTGATGGGAGGGAGGGGGAAGGGGGGAAGAAGAGGAGCAGAAGGAGGAGGAGGAGTTAGGGAGGGAGGGAGGACGGTTTTTGACATCCTGCATCTGACCCGACAATTTTTTGGATCTGAGCTCGACGCCGCCCTGTCGATGTCCTGATTTCCTGCGAGGAGCTTCTGTTTTGGACTTTGAACTCGGCTGCTCGGTGCCAACAGGGAGGCCTGGCCGAGGTTTTCTGCGGAGCCACGTTCAGAATCGCATGTTCACACACAGCCTTAACCCAAACCCCCCCCCTCTGTCAGTCTTCAGAGGACGGACACCAATGCTGAGACGGATCCAGTTTTAAGTCGTGCATTATGCGAGCTCCGCCATTTCTCGCCATCCTCTTTGCTCACTCCTTTTTTTTTTTTTCTCAAACTAGGAAATCACAGAGGACGAACTGTCGTAGCATTCAGTTGGATTGTCATTCAATATATATATATATATTATTTTTTTCATTTCTTGGTCACGGGTTGAGGGGTCCAGCTCTTTCCCATGACCACTCCTCAGGTCGTCATCAAGGGGTTGGAGTATCAAACCTGTAGCCCCGCCTTCCTCTTCTTCTTCTTCTTCTTCTTTTCTTCCACTAACGTTTGGGTCCACATGCAGCATCACTTCCTGTGTTTGGCTCGTGCATGGAAGCAGCAGACGGTGTATTTGTGCAGGTTTGAGTGTGCTAATGTGAGGCAGTCCGAGGACGCTGTCATGGTTTGAGTTCCATTTTTTATTTTTATTTTTTCCCCTTCCTGTGTGGCCGTCATGGTGATTAGCTCCGTTTCTACTGCGTAACCACGGCGCCGTGGAGGACAATACAGCCAATCCCTGCCTCCGCTCACACGGAAAGAGTCAGATATATGAACATCACACTAACGGACAACTTGGATACATCGGCTGTGTAGCAGATCCTCTTCTCCCTCTCGCCCCCCCTCCCCCAGTTTGAGTAGTACTGTTGTTTTACAAAAAAAAGAAAAAAGAAGAAGGGGAATACGTCTGAATTTTTGTATTCAAATGAAGAGTTGTTCGCCAAAACGCCACGAGCTCATCACAGTTAAGAGTGCTAAACTGGACACGTTTATTACCTAATACCCTTTAACCTCTTCTATAATTTATTTCTTATTTTTTCCTTTTTGGTTAGGATTGGGTGTCGTTGCATTTTCTGTTTGGGACATAATTCTTATAATGTTGCTATAATAATGCTTTTTTTTTTTTTTTTTTTTTTAAATTGATTGCCCCCCCTCCCTCTCCCTCTCCCTCCCCTGAGGTGTTGTTCCTGTTCTTGAGCGTTCACTAAATCATAGAGGTGCAGTCTGAATCAGTGATGTCACAACATTAGGGTGACATAACACTGAGAATTGTTTTTTTTTTTTACAAATAACCCAAAGATAAAAGAGAAATCTGATAGAAGGTGGAACGTGTGCGAGATGATTCAGAGTCGTCATCCAGGATTTCATCTCTTCTGTTCAGTAGTGACCTCGATCAGCTCGGGCTGGGCAGTAACCCTTCAAATGATGACATCACCTTATTTCGTATTTTAATATCAATCACTTTTTATCACCACACATGATGTAATAGTTCTAAAACACCTTTAATCGTTTTTCATTGACACTATTTAAGGATTCTTTCTTTTACGATATAAAGCAGTTCAGGTATTTAAAAGAACACACTGATGGGGGGGCTGCACGCTGAGCTGCCACTAAGTCCTGATGTCATCACCTTTTTTTTTCCCCCGACAACTTTATTAAGAGATAAAACAGGCGTGCACTTTGATCATTTCTTTCTTTCCCCTTGTTTGTGCTCACCTACCCGCCCCCCGAGCTTGTTTCTAGAGGTTCCACTTCCTGCTTTTCTTTTTTTAAGACTAGGGCTCTGTGTTTATCATCAAGGTTTTTAACAGCCGCTGTACAAGCTTTAATAGTTTCCTCCTCTTAAAAAAAACAACACTGGAATTAAAATGAGGAAGACGCAGCGCCATGCTTAACATCAGTGGTTTTTTTCACTCGGCCTTAAGCAGACACACGATGTCTTTAATGAGGGGGCTGCTAACCGAGCTGCTCGACACCCACACAACAGACCAGTTCTGTCAAATCATTTCTTCTTTTAAGATGGTAACAGGAGTTTACTGCCACTGTCATGCACCCTGTTTCCACTCTGTTTTCATTTTGTTGAAGATGCAGGAAGCAGATGTGTTCAAAAAAAGTGAAACAGGAAAAACAAACGCAGAGAAACTTGGTTATTTTTTTCCTGCGGTGCTGTGAAGTAAACTTCTTATAGATTTGTTTCCCAGTCCTGTGATGAAGATTTTTCAGCTTTACGTTATTGAGGGTGAACATCTTGTGACATCACTGATTCAAACTGTCGACGCTCTCCTGTGTTTAAGCGACGCCTCGGATGGATTTGGCTGCAGATCCAACATGTGAACGTTTAAATTGAGTGGTTTCCTCCTCTTTTTTTCCCCTCGTGTGTTTTAAGTTCTGTCATTGTTTGACTTCAATCAGCCCTAAACAGTCTACCTGCTTGGACTTTGTGCTGTGCATATTGTTCAGTTTCACACTTCTCTTCCTTCTGCTCCTAAAGGGACATTCTGCCCAAATCAACTTCTTTGTTTGTGACTTTGCAGACGCTGACTTTTTTTTTTTTTCTTCTTACTCAGATTTTTTCATTTTGTCTGTTTGGCATTTGGCGCTCGTTTGAGGTGCATTAAAAAAAGTTGGTTCATACAGGTACGGATCTCAATAGAAGTACTTTTGCAGTATCACAGGGAGTGCAATCCAACGATGTTAAAAGTGTGTATTTAATTTTTCCAGTTTGGAGAGCTAAGAAACGAGCAGCAGTGGATTTCCTCGAAACGCAGGAAAATCAAAAAGCATGACTTTTTTGTTTCTTATTTTTCGCAAACGAACTTCAGAAAAGTTGATTGAGGTGGAGAGCCCTCGTTACCAAACACCACTTAACTATGCTAATCCTCATGCACAGTCCCCCCCAACCCCTCCCTCCTCCCTCCCCCCTCCTCACCTGTCTCGTCCTTTCCTGTGAAAAAGCAGCGACGGGGGGAGGACAACGTCGTGGCTGGTTCTTCTTTTGATATTTTGAAGAAAAAAAACCCTTGTTGTTTTTTTTTTGAGTGCTAATGAGAAACGGAAGAAATGGAATATCTTTCTGTACCTTTTAGAGAATCAAATTATTTAACCTTATATCAGTTTGAGTTACTTACACCCTAGCATAGAGTGGCATATTTAGTTAAGTGTATAAAAAAAAAAGCAAGAACATAATTCTGTCCTATTTTCTCCTTTAATTTTATCGTGTTCCATTTTCTGCTGAGGAAAATAAACTGGATTAGAGGATGTGGTGTGTGTGTGTGTTTCTTCTTCCTGAGTCAACGTGTGTTCAACAGGGTTTTCAATAAAAATGCCAAAATAATACCCATCGTTATTATTTTAAAGATATGTTTGCCTTTTATTGGACGGGACAGGTGAAGAGAGAAAGGTAACGTCGGGGTGAGAGAGTGGGAAACAGGCAGCAAAGGGCGGATGCTGGATTTGGGGCACGCAGCAGCCCACCCCGTTAATATTTTACAGATTTTGCTTGTTCTTTCTTTGACCTTTTTTGGCCTTAATGTCTTTTATTCTAGAGAGAGGACAGGCATAGAGTCAGAAACAGGAGAGAGAGAACGACATGCCACAAAGGAGCCGCATGTCGGATTTGAACCTGGGACCTAAGCCTCAGTACATGGGGCACGAGCACTGACCACTACCGGTGCCCTCACTTTGTCAAAGTTGATCCCAGTTTGATGTTGAAACTTAAATTTAAATTTAACTGACCACGTGGAGTATGTGTTGTGGATTTTTCTGTTGGTAATGAAAGAGCTCAAGTCAAAGTCTTTTGTCTTTGTGTATTTTATTGCATATAATAAAGAGTTCTTTTGCAAAAGGGTAATCAGCTGCAAAAGTAACGTCAGTCACAAGTGCATCAAAGATTCCCGGGGCAGTCCCGGTTGCAGAGCATATTTATACTTTCACAGGGTGGAGGTATATTACATATACATGAGTAATACATCGTCATTGGTTTCAGCTTGCCTTGTGATTTTTCTAACACCAACAGAAAGTCCTTTGTCAGGAGGGCACTGATTTAGGATCATGCTGTACTCAGATCCTGAGGAGTGTTCCTGTTGGAGATACAGACCGAGGCCATACAGAGAAACAGTTTCTCATTTCTAAATGACGCACGAACATCCTAATCTTTGAAGTTCAAATGAGGACGACAGACAGATAGTATTTTTCCACTCCATATTGTCTGATCTTTTTTCCCTCCAGATGCAGAAATTAGAGATTTTACAAGTTTAACGAACAATTACGCTGAACGTGGAACGATAAGTCACAATAAACATGAGGTGAAATGATCATTTGAGTTACTCAGAATTTAATGTCAAGTTTCTTTTATTTCTTTGGCAAATTTCAGGAACAAGGGAATTCAAAGTGCTTCACACAAGACTTCAAAAGCATCAAGACAAAGAGAAAACAAACATTTAATAATCACAGAGAAGATTAAATATGAAGATTTTAAAGTAAAGAGATCCAAAAGAAAAACAGAAATATGACATTATGGGGGAAAGTGATGTTAACTGCTCTGTGGACTTTTAAAAGTTAAAACGTTCTGAAGTGTCTGACTTCATGTCGCAGCAGCTGAAGCAGAAAGACTCTGAAACTTATGGGTCGTGATATTGATTTACTTTTTTAATATCATAATAATTAATAAGTACCCACTGCCACGCCCACAGTAAGAATGCAAAGGGGTTCTGATTCCCCTTCCTCTAGTTCATTAAGTTCCCTCTCGGCTGGTTTTGATTTATGAGGCTCATTTAAAACTTTTTTTAATAAATATGAAAAATATAAATAATGATTCAAATCTTTTTTTTAAACATGTATACTTCCAGTCCTCCAAGATCTTCTCTCCTGACACACTTAGTTCATT